ACCATTGACCAAGATTATTTGCAATCCTATCCGGAATTGCATCATCCCACTCATTTCCATTAATCCACAATTCTTGCATAATTATTTTGATTTGAATAATATATGGTGCTAAAAAACCCAATGGGTCGAACAACGTTGCCATTTTTTTAAGCAAAATTCGTTTTCTATATACCGAATTTTCTTCGGTTGTAACAGAATAAAACTAAATAAATCAGTTTTGCTTTCCAGACAACTCCAAAAGTTTTTATTTCAGGCAATTCTCCAGAATCTAAATTTGAATGTTCTGCACGATCATTTTCTGGTGTTATTTTAAGAACTTCGATCGAGTTTGAAAGCCACTTCCGTACAAACATTCCTGAACCCCATAGTAGCGTGAGTTCCTTGTGTAATTGAATTCCTACTTTTTCATCAACTACAGAAGTTATTGTGTCGTCCATGTAAGTTTCTTCAAGAACAGCTTCAGAAGCTAAAGAAAATTTTCGTACATACTTTCTTGAATGTTCTTGCGTTACAAATTGAGCCATAAAAGGCGATAAGTTGATTCCAAATACCAGTCGATTAAACTAAAATACCTCAGGCTCGGCAGTTGGATCTAGGTTTCTCCATAAAAATCGTTGGTACCTTTGATCATCTTTATGTATTTCAATTTTTAAATACATTTCTGTTATATCACAACCTAAAGCCACTGGGTATTTTTGAAATCTCAACAAAACAGTCACAAGGTCTTGTTGAAGTTTTGGCCCTTGATAAATAACATCATTAATTGATTTACCATTATATTTTGTAGCTCCATCAAGCACAATTCTGACTTTTGTAGTTGATTTATCAGGACGAAGAATTGGAAAATGTGGTAAGTACCAACCATCTCCAAGATTCCTTTTATTGATTTTCTCCAAGTATCCCTTTTCTTGATACTGCTTAATAATATTATAATAGTACACTTCTCCGAGACTTTTGTTTTTCATTAGTCGTTTTTCCGTGTTTAGTAGTCTATAACGCTATTGTATAATTATTGTCCAAATGTCTATTACTTTTCCATGGTAATTTTAGCTCATATCTTCCGTTCTTTTTTCTTAGGGAAGTAGTTACTATATTAAGGGCGGTAGAGTCTTCTGGGCTAGTCATTGTTTTTCTAAATTGCATCTCTTCTTCGCCTTCAATTTCCCATAATTTTTTAATGGTGTTGTTTGCATCTTCTATTTCCTTTGTACTAGATGTTTTTTTCGTAAAATAGGTTTGAAGAAATCCACCAGTACAACCAACACATGTTCATCCGAGCGGCGTGAGTCGAGCCACTACTTCATTAAATCCTCCTTTTACTTTCTTAATTGCACAGTGCAGCTCAGCGTAATCTACATCGATTAGAATATCAATTTTTGGTTTTGTCCAATATTTGGGAATTCGATTTTTCTTAGATGTTTCCAACTTTTTGACAAATTTGCCCAATTAACTGTTTTAAGTTTCCAGTTTCATTATTAACTGTAAAAGCTTCCACTGTAATTTTTATTTCTCCATTCAACAATTCCAAATGAAATTCTACCGGTATCGTTTCGAAAGAATCAATTTTTCCATTTATCATGTTTACAGTTAACTTTTTGGTCCTTGCAGTGACAACTCAGCCGCTACATCAGAGTTCAAATATGTCTTGGTACTTCCAATGTCAAGCAATGTGTTTACCACAACTTTTTTACTTCCATTACGAAGAATAACTGGCACCGTTCTAAGAGATATGTAGTTCATGACGTGATTTGAATAAAATGATGTTCGACGTGTGAGAATTTTCTAATATCGCTAATATCTTTTTCTTTGAAGTCTTCAGAAATTGTTTTATTTTGATGTCTTTTTTTGTGAAGCAAACGATTATGGGTATCTGTACAGCCGTCAATCCCACAAATTCTTGTGTTCCTGCATTCTTTTGACGAATGATTAGAATTCAAACATCCTGAAGCAGAGTTCATTTTTCTTAGCTGTTTCCCATCTTTTTTTAATATTTTGATTTTGAAACGTTGAACACTCCCATATTTTATGATCGTTTTTGCAAATAAAACATTGATTTATCCAATTTATTTTCTTCTGAAAATCTGCTTCTTTATTTTTTCGTTCAGTTTGTTTTCATACACCCATCGTTTGTATCTAATTAACATTATTTCTGGAACTTTTTTTGCATTATTTCATTTTCCATTTTCCGCATGATATTCGTTGATTTGATTGGTTCAATTTCGTTACTGAAATTTCCTTCTTTTTTATCTTCATACTGGTCATTACTTTTTTGAGTACTTATCCATTGATAACATTGCTTTTTTGTTTCCATTTTAAGTTCTTTTCCCATCCTTTGACGTTTTAAACTTGATTTTATACTTCCATTGGGCAACATCCATTCTTTTACATGTTCCATACTTTCCGCAAATTCGTCGTTTAGTTTTTCAATTTCTGTATTGAGTTTTCCAACATTATCTTTTGATTCCAGAAGTTCGTATTTCTTTGATAATTCAACCATTATCTCAAGCTTCGTTTTAAGTCTTTGTTAATTGATTACTCAATTTGCGTAACTCTTATTTACAAGTGGGTTCATCGTCTCAAAGTTGCTGAATAATTTGATGTTTAGTTCGCGTTAACGAAGACTTTAGAATTATTTTCTTCATTTTCAATGCAGATACTTCATTTTGAACGGTTAAGTGATTTTCCATTTGGTTATTTGATTTTTGATTTTTCCTTTTTACCATTTTTCCGTGTTGAAGAAACTACCCTCTGCTACCAATTATGTTCCGATGGCGATCATAAATAATACCAAATATGTATTATAACTTATATTTTTAAGATCTTTACCGTTTTTGCATTAACTATATCACTTATATTGATTATATTTTTGTATCTGAAAAACAACAACAACAAAACTCTATTTATACAAAAATTTCGTTCAATAACAAAAAAACACTATTGTTCAAATAGTCGCCACATAATTGTTATTTAATTCGTTATAGCCATATCGGCGCTATTCACTGGTTATATCGATCGTGGTATCGGAATGTTGTTTTTCTTTTATGCTAATTTAATTTTATTCCTATCATATGTATATATATAGAATATATGAAAGAATGTTCCGTCTCTACTGACACATAAAAAAAATACAAAAACTTCAAATCAAAAATTAAGACAAATGAAATGTCACAAATAGTATTTTAAATAATTTAATGTTACAAAAATGATAAATTTTACTTTTAAAATAATAATTTTATTAAAAATCTTTTCTTGAAAATGGTTTCACTAAACCATAATGGACATTTTTTTCAGACACACCAAATATTAGTATTAACTTGCAGAAAATAATATTATTTAAATATTTTTTTCTCTCAACATTATACAGATTGGATATCTGGTCAATCACCGCCTAAAATGAATTATGATAATAATTTCTTCGTTAATTTTATATCTAACAGGCATGGATTAGTGAAACTTACATCACATTGCATCTGCATATAAGGTTAGCTCTTAAATCGGTTTTTTTTAAGTTCATCTGTTAGCGATCCAAAAGTTTTGGGAACTCTTTTTTCAGTAATTTCTCTACTACAGCCTGGGAGGCTTTTTTTAAATTGTTGTTACAACTCTTTTTTCAGCTCTGAAACACAAGCCTTTACAAGCAAGGCTTGTAAATGCTCGTGTTTCAGAGCTCGTAAAGGCTCGTGTTTATGACATGTTGGGGATCAAAATTGAAAATTCTTGTTTACGGACGAATACTCTACCGCTACAAATTAGGCATTAGGTTTAGTGAACATGCCTGCTTCATTAAACAATTTTTTTTTTTGAGAGGATTTGAAATTGGATTTTCCCACTGGCCCCAAGTATATAGCTTCGTAAAAGATTTTTGGAACAAGTTCATCTTATAGAATAGGAACTTTTCAGTTAAATTTACTAATAACAACTATTTATATAAAAATGATTTTTAATTGAAACAAAATCACAAATGTATAAGACTGTTTTGCCTTTTTTTTAAAAACTTAAAAATTTTTTTCAATATTTATCCGTATATAAATCTTTTAAAATAGATTTAATTTATATTTGTAAATATACGCAATACGCAAACAACAAGAGCACTATCAGCTCAAGCAAATATAAATTGAAATGTTTTAAAGAAAGCTTTAACAGTATTAATGAAAGAATACTATTATTAGAAAAGGATGTTGAGGAAATAAAACGAGGACTTACTTTTGTTGGAAATGATATTGAAACCAAAGTAAACAAAGGAGATAGTAATATGGCGATAATAAAAGAAACAATAATTAGGATAAAGTCGTTTCAAGGAAAGTTAGTAAACGAGGCGACAGAAAACAAACGCAAAACTGTTGAGTTAGAAGATCGCAACCGGCGAAATAATTTAAGAATAGTAGGCATTAAAGAGGGAGTAAACGAAACCAACGAAATGTATTGAGAAAAAATAAAACCCTCATTAAAGAAGACCTTAAAATTAAGTCTTTTACAGTTGGAAATCATAGAGTTGGAAAGTTAGAAAAAAGACTAAGGACAATCGTCTGCAAAATACTCAATTGGCAAGATAAAAAGACAATATTAACAAACACTCGTAAGTTAAAAGGAAAAAATATATTTGTTAACAAAAGAAATATCGAGAATACGCAAAGAATTTTTTGCTCAAGATGAAATTCATAGAAGTAAAGGCAAATATGCGAAGGTGATTTATAACCGTTTAGTCGTTAGAGATAAGCCGATTGAGAGTAAAGCTGGTGACAAAACAATTTAAATAACCTTTTATTATTTGTTTTTGAATTTCCTGTTTTAAATTTTTTTTAATGATAAAAACCAATATGACTAAAGTCGATAATTTTAACAATCCAAAAATAATTAAATAGGAGATATAATAACTTTATATCTCTTATTTTAGAAAAACTAAAATCTCATGAATAGAAATTTTATTTTATACAAAAGATTGGCTTTTTAATTTTTATGTTAAAGTTGTTATTTTTTTGTTAACTGTTGTCTTTCATTAACAAAGCAAGTAAAAAATTGCACATAATGACAACAGATTTATCTTTAGAACTGTTTGCAAAACTTTTGGTTTAAATACAAAAGACCAAGTGAAAATGATACTGAAAAGGTACACTTCCTTATTTTTAAACATCATTGCAGCTTTCTAGTCTTTATTTTTGTTTATGTGTATTTCATCTGTGTTGCTAATTATATCGCCAGTTTTTATGATTTTATGTTGTTAGGTAAAGCATCATTATGTTTCAGGCTAAAATAGAGCTTTGGTTAATACTTTTATCCAGTTTAGATGAATAACAACTCTCAAAGTGTATTAGCTGAATTGTCTTTTTGTTTTGATAGTCTTTAGTCAATAACGGATTTTTAAATTGTTATGAGTCTACAACACTTAATTTCATGGAAGTTCAATAAAAAAAGTCATGTCATAGAAGACAGAAAAATATCAATATCTGTTTTTTTAATAACTTGGTTTTCATAGCACATCTGAGAGTTGCAAATGTGTAGCTTGGTTTAAGTACTACATAATAAAATACATCGTTGTTTAGTCATTTTGATGGTCGCAAATTTCTTTAACACACTCATTTTTATATATTTTTAGACTGTTCACCGTTTGACTCCTGTGCCAATCTAACCTAGTGGGTTCAAAAAGAAAGGACCGCGCTGGAAATGTATTTCACTCAGCTAATCAAGTTTCATTTGCTTTTTTGTATTACATTCAAGCAATAGACTGTTTTTTATGTTCACTCGTTTTTTAAAAGTCGTAACTAGCTAGAAGTCGTAACCAGCTTGTATGAACGGATTTCTTGACGTGAAATAGTTAATATTTCACGTCAAGAAATATTATTCAACAACTCCAAGAAACAGAGTTTATTCAACAACTCCAAGAAACAGAGCTCGCTCAAGAAACAGGAAAGAAAGAGAAAGATGAAAAAATATTCTGTTGAACAATACTGTTGTTTTATTTATAAGTTATGCTTCTATATTTAAACATATAAAAAATGTAGAAAATGCTTCCTCTTTTATATTGACATCTAAAAGAGGTTTTTTTCTCGGCATTGGAAAGAGCTTTTTGTCATACTTTGTATGAAGAGCTTATACCATTTTCATTTGATAAAAACAGCTTTTCATGTATTAAAAGTAGGAATACTATAGTGATAGGATACTATAGTATACTAATAAATATGACAAAAAAGTCGTTCTGACCCCTAGAAAAAAAACTTTTTTAGAAGTGCATAATTAATAAACAAAGACGCCTTAAAGACGCATTTTTTATGTCTTTTCATGACAAGATCAAGACAAAAAAAGACGCCTTTTCGATGTCTAAAAAAAATGTCTTTTTGATTTGCATATTCGACTAAAAAAAGATGTCTTAAAGACGCATTTTTTATGTCTATTCATGACAAGATTAAGATAAAAAAGATGTCTTTTCGATGTCAAAAAAGATGTCTTTTAGATTTGCATAATCAATTAAAAAAAGACGTCTTAAAAACATCGTAAATAAGACTTTTAAAGACGTCTTTTCGACGTTTTTTTTCCCATATGGAAGTGTTTATGAAGAAAAAACAAGTCTTGTCATTCTACATTAAATAGTGTTCAAAATTTAAAAAAATAAAATCAAGAAAAAACTGGTATAACACAGGTATATGCGTTAATAATGTATAAGAAAAAATTGTTTTTACAGTCAATTTTTTTTTTTCCATATACTATTTTCTATACTTCTTCAGCACAGATCCCATGTCATACAGTTTTCCTCTTGGTTTTTTAAAGTAAGATCTTGAATACTATTTATTGTAGACTGGCGAGACTTGTTTTTTCTTCATAAACACTTATAGAACTTTAGAAAAGTTATTTTAATTTACATCAATGATATGCATAAAGCATCATCCATAGTATCTTCAATAATGTATGCTGATGACACAACCTTATTAAACTACTCTACTACTAATTAAACCAACTAATCAAAGTAATTTAAAATCGACGTTCTGAACCGGGGCTGTGGAGTCGGAGTTGCGACAATTTTAGCGGAGTCGCTAAACAAAATCGCGACTCCGATTCCAATAGTAAAACTTCTCAATTAACCTTATCTTCATACTAAACCTCAAAAAACGCTTCATTAATTAGTCAAAAAAATTTTTTTTAACTTATCGCGTTATATTTATCAAAAAATTCAAAAAATTTTTCAAAATTTTTGCTTTGGAGTTGGAGTCGAAGTTGTACTCAAAAAATTTCATTAATTGGAGTCGGAGTCGTTACTTTTTTTTTACAACTCCATACCCCTGTTCAGAACAATGAATACTGAAATGGAAAACTTTAATCTATGGTTTAGAGCAAATAAACTATCCTTAAACAATGAAAAAACTAACTACATCTTATTTCATAAAACAGGTCAATCAATGTCTCTACCGTTAAAAATTCCAAAATTGTTCATTAACAACATAATGATAAAAAACTGTAAAAATAAGCAATGTTTCTTGGTGTTCATATTGGTGAAAATTCAACATAGAGAAATCATATTGGACGCATAGAATCAAAAATATCATCTGCAATAGGTATTTTAAAATAAATGTCGCCCGTTTCTTGATTTCTGTTCAAAAAAAAAATTTACTTCAGTCTAATTCACAGTCATTTCACATATGCTAATATAGTGTGGGCTAACACACGCAAAACAAAATTAATCAAAACGGCGTTTTGTCATAGCGTTTCGCGGGAATATTTCATCAAAACGGCCTTTATGGATGTCCCCTAACAACTATTTAAAAAAAGAAAAAATTGTGACAAAATATATATTTTTAATTCTTATTTAGGCGAAAATGTATTTGATGACTTTGTTTTAAAGTATTTTTGTTAGAAATACTTCTTAATAAGGTACGTTTTTTTAAAATAAGGGATGTTCCATAAAGTACATTCGCAGGTATGATGGGAGGAGGTTACCTAAAAGCGTACGAATGTGTACAAGGGTTGTTAAAACTAGCGAGTACCTACGTGGTTCTATCGTACGTACTAATTCCTAAAAATTGGTTTCTTTAACAAAAGCATCGAATTTGACGATTTTAAAAAATAAAAATTATTTTATGTGACAGAAACGTTGAATTAGCTTAAAGTTTATTGGTTTTTAATGTTGTGAAAATATATGCGTTGCTATGGGGAAGGGGTTGACTTCATAATAAATAATGCGTATGTACGCAGAGGGAAGAAGAGAGGGGTTGTTGAAAGCATACAAGGTGCGTACAAGGGGGGATCCTAGATCAGTAGTCTTACTGTGTACATAAAATTTAAGGATGTCTCCTAAGTAAAATAGTAATTTAAACAAACTGTTTATGAGGAAAATGCTCTTATGGCAATCGCAATGATATATAATACACGTTTTTTATCTAGATGTAGAACTAAAATCTAAGACAGTGGTTATATTCAGATAAAATATAGACATTCTCTTGAGTAGCCATTAACAATTACAAGACATAAAAACTTTATTAACAATGCATTGACAAAATAGACAAACCAACACGCACTATTATAATAAATTTAGTCGAAATCGAGTTTAAAATTTACAGCAAAGAAAAACAAAAACAGCACAGCAAAAAATTACATCATAAACTAAAAACTACTTAAACTTTATACAAAATTATTTTTTTTTACAACTGTTTAGAAGATTTTTTTAAATTCTTCACGTAATACTATATTTAGATTTAAAAAACCAAGTATTCTGCAAAAATATAAAAATAAAAGTAATCCAAATAATTTACGTGCATAGATAATATATTTTAGTTAAACAACTGCATAAATGATCTGCAAACAATTTATCTAACTTTTAGTTCCCAAGAAATTAAAAAAAAAGAAATAAAACTAAAGTCTTGAGAAGATTTTGGTATAAAAAAGTGAAACAGTTATTAGCAAAAAAAGTGAAACAGTTATTAACAAGGAAATATGGAACAAACAAATCACAGAACGAAATAGAAAGGCTATTTCAAACTTTGAATAAATCAAAAACTTATTTTGAGAGCAAGAAAAATAAAAATGTTTTTAGGTTAAAGAAATTATGAAAATTAAAACTATTGTTAGCAAAAATGGATATTAAAATACTACAAGAGAAAAGGGTTGTTTCCTGAATTATTTGTTGGCTGCAATGGTGCAGGTAGCAATGTATCACCTCCAGGGCCAGGTACAGCAAAAGATTTATTATTTCTAAGCTCGTTGATTGACTTTGGTTTCGGCTTATCTTGTAAAAATGGATTTGTATTACTTGCGGGTACATTGGACATAAACGGATTGTGAAAAGATTGATTGTTAGCTGGTTTTATTATGTTATCAACATCAACTAGGTGTGCACCATTTTTTAGGAACGTATGAGAAGCATTACTTCCACTTTGATTATTTTTCGTTGCTGCTAACGTTTGATTGTAAACATTTGATTTTGAAACGTCATTTTGAAATGGTTCATATAAGGGAGGTGGAGAGTATGATTGGGCTTTGAATGGACTTTGAGTCATTAATGAATCCTGTCCACTCCATAGATCTGGTTGTTGCGAAGGCAAGTAAGATGAAGGAGCAGCCCAAGGATCAACTGGATTTTTGGTAGAGGTTGACCATGGATCAACTAAGGGAACAGATGTAACATTTGAAGGTTCAAAAAAAGTTTGAGTATTAGATTTTCCCCACGGATCTTGGTGAACTGAAGGTGTGGATTGAGGATGAGAACAACCCCAGGGATCGCTTTCTGGTTTGGATTGAGGATTATAAACTGAATCAGTCAAATTAAGAAGAGTAGAACTTGCTGCAGCAGTTGAATTATTTACCGCTATTTGGAAAGCAGCATCTTCTGATTTTCGTTCGCGTTCTGCTTCTTCTTTACTCATTGCTAGTGCAATTTGAAGTTGCATTTCTTCTTCTAATTCATTTGAAGGGCGTACTTTTTCTAATTCTGAGGTTATGCGTCCATCTGTTGAGCGAGAATCTTCTTGATTTTTAGAAGGTTGCCAAGATTGTGAAGGAATATTTGAGTCATCCATACTCCCTTTAGAGCCTGAGTATTTTGAAATTGTAGATTTTTTGTTTCCTGGATAACTTGTATTTCCAATACCACCCTGAGACTGGGTAAATCTTTCTTTCGCTTTTAATGCACGTTCTCGTTCAGCTTTTAACCGTTCATCATCCTTAAGCAGAGCAACAAGTGCCTTTGATTTCTCTCTAACATTAATCCCTTGATCTTTTCCGTCTTTATCAATAAATTGAAAATCCTTTAAAGTTTTTATAGCAAATATATTTTCTCTACACTGTTGAGCAACACGCTCACTACCTGTTTTAACTATATAATCAAGAACAACAAGTGACTTATAAACATGACGCCAATTTTTACCGTGATCATTTATTCTTTTCCATAACATCACCATAATCTCACTAAATGCTTGCACATTATAAGTAGCATCAGCTATTTCACTAGTTAACGAACTTGATGGACCCCATGGATCATTACTGGTAGATTCTCTAACTTTAACTTCTATATCAGAGAAGTTTCTTACCACATTTTTCACCTGTCTTCTTAAAGCCATATTTACATTATGTCGTTAAAGCAAACTTTTCAGAATCATTTTATTTATTGCTATATATTAAAATAATCATTTACAGAAATATATAAAAAAGCAAAATCTATTAATGAAGTCAGTAAGGGGTTTTCCATATATTTTGTCGCGCTCTAGGGAGGGGAAGGAATGGGTTAGTGATTTTGTGACAACATGTGCAAGACTTGTTACTAAAGAGCTACAATGTTATGACGAGTAAGGAGGGTCAAAAACAGTTTAAAAATTGCATGACATTATGTATGGACAACCCCAAATGCAGCTAATAGATAATTTCTTTTAACTAAACAAAAATTACATGCACCAATTACACTACAATTAAAATTTATGCAAAAATACAATAATTATATATACACACACATTCATAAATACCATTTGTGTAATTATTGCAAGCCCTCAGTTGATGTAGCAGCACTCCTTTGCAAAATCAGGCTATAAGAGAGTCAATGTATTTATGTATGTATGTATGAATGTGTATATATATATATATATATATATATATATATATATATATATATATATATATATATATCATTTCTTAAAAGCAATAATAAAAAAAGTTATGATTTGTACCTTGAAAAAAACTAATATACTATATATTTTTAATTTCTACTTTATAAAAAAAATCTTTTTTTGGCTGGATTTCTGTGGTGCAACTACCTGTAAATTCCTCTACATAAAAGTCTTAAAAATATACAAAAATAAGGTAATTGCAATCTGCTTTTAATTTAAAGATGCTTTTTCACAAATTGATTCTGTCAATCATTATGCTTTTTATGCAATCATTGCTTTTAATGCTAAACATAGCAATCTTACTATCAAATGGCAAGGGAGAGAGCTTATCCTTTCAATGCAGAAAATTTTACGAGATGTAACAGCATGTAATCATTTATATAATCTATCAGTTTACAAATTTAAACTTAAAAAATTTGATGTACTTTATTATTTAACTAAATTTATTCTCATGTAATACCATGTTTTCAGAATACTTTGCAAAAAAAAAAACTTTGAGAAGTTGGTATTACAGTTATTGAAGAATGAATTGAAACTAGGGTTTGAAATGTTGATACTAGTCTATTTTTAACTGAAATGAAAAAACCTATTTTACTAGTTATGGGATTGATGGTACCAATTCAGGATAACCATATGCAGACAAAGCAAATGCATTTCAAAGGACGTTTAGTGAAAACAGAGAATGTGTCACAATTCAACCTTTGGTTTCATATTCAGGTATGTTGTAACATGTTATGAACAAAGAAAAAATATTTTTTTAATTTTAACTAGCTTAGAAAGACTTTTTAATTTTATTTTATATTAAAGTTTGATGTTTTGAACTTTTCTTGAGTAAGAAGAACTTTCTTGAGTCCAAACAAATTTGAATTTTTTCACTCAGACACAACAGGAGTTACTTTGCCTTATGACTAAGTAATTAACATTTACAGAAAGTATTGTAAGCAGAAAGATGCTTTTAGATATCTGATCCTTAAACAAAACTTTAATGTGGATTTTAGCAAACTAAATGAAAGGCTAGTGATACCAATATTTTGAAAATTAATGTTGGCTTTAGCAAAATAAATGAAGGAAAATTTATTAAGTGTTAGTTTTATGAAAAAATTTGAAAGAGTAGAAAACTGTTTTGAACAGGAAAATCACCATTAATTTCTTCGGTTGATAAAGTATGTGGTTTTGCAAAATATTAGAAATCAAAACCCAAACAAGCTGTAAGATTGATAGATAAACTTTTTTAATTTTTATGATAACCAAAAAAATTAAGTCAAAATTATCAAAAGGCATGGCTTGTGCTACCCTAGTACATGGATCAATGACAGAAAACAATGCACTATCTGTAGTTAGTACATTGTTTGCTGAATTAGTGCAAAAATCAAAACAAAACAAATTAATTTTTTCTGAAAACAAACTTGTTTCTTATAAAAACTTATATGAATGAATGTATAAATACTTTTTTATAATATGTCTTTGCTATCATAAAAAATTTAAAACAAAAATGACTTGTACTTAAAGTAGAACAAATCAAAAAAGGTGAAATATCACTCAGTAAAGCTTCAAAGGCTTACAACATACTTAAACCAACTCTTCACAAAAGTGTCCACAACAAAGTCTAATCACATAGTAGAGATACAACTACAGTGCTAAATACAGCGTTTGAATTTGTTCTTTAGTTGTTTGTTACTTATTAGTTTCAGTACTTATTAGTTTAGCGGATTGGGGATTCAGCAGTTTTTACTTAATTTTTAACCAATTTAATTTTCTTAACATGTTATTTAATTGTTAATTAAACTAGTTTACTTTTCCCCAATTATAAGGGGAAAAGTAAACATTTTTTTTTTCTTCTTCATAAAAATTGATTTTTTCAAAATATTTTTTCTCAATTTTTATAATTTTAATTTGAAAAATTCTTTATAAAAATAAAAATAAAAAATAAAAATTATGAAAAATAATAAATATATTTTTTCTTAAAAATTGAATTTGAAGCTAAAGCGTTTATAGATTAAATTCAATCTATTTCCAATTTCCAGAAAGTTGAATGTGTTTAAAAATTATTCACTTTTTTTAGGTTTTTACAGGATAATAGTAATGTAATATTACTATTAGTTAAATTCGACCTTACTTCCTTACACTTTCCAATCACTTTACATTGGAAAGTCATTAAAAATAAATTATTTAATTCTTATCTATCTTATCAATTTCTGACCACCCGAAGGTTATTAAGAACTGTTCCAATTTATTAATTTCAAAAAACTAATAAATTTTAATGTAAAATTAAGAAAGACAACCAATCTCTACTCTTTGTTAAATGCACTGGCTTGATTACACAAGATGTTTATACATAAATATCTCTATTATACATTTAACTGAATTATTTGCACACTTATAATGGAACAATTTGACTCACTTAGTCAAAGAATCAAATAGGACCTATACATTTCTGAAAAAAAAAAAAAAAAATTAAACTTTGATACTAAAAACTTTTTATCTTATCAATTTTAATTTAATGGGGTTGAAATGTGAAATTTGTTTTTGTTTTAAATTCTTATAGGATCCTATAGGACTCTTTGACTAGGGCAGTTAAGCTAACTGGTTTATTTTTAATTTAAAAAAATAAAGATATTTATTACCATTGATGAATTAATGACTTCTTTTTTTAATTATATACTTAAATAGAATTTATTTACTTATTTAATTTTAAAGAGTTCTCATTTTAACACAAAAGCAAAAAAAAGTTTTAAAATAAACAAAGACTAGTATTTTGAAAATAAAAGCATTTTTTTTCTTTTTACTATTTTCTCTTTCTAAATAGAATTTAAAATAAATATATTTCAGACATCAAACAAACTACGATCTCACTTCCTATAATTTATTTGAGTAATAGATTATAATAATGAAATTTCTTTTTAATACGTTTAAGGAAACCTTATCAAATTATCCTTGGTCTTAGGTAATTACTTTACACACCAAAAACGTAGTGATTTCACAAGATAAAGGTTTACTGGGAGAAATAAACTTTTATAAAAAGGAAGCTTCCTAAAGTCCATTAACATTTAGTCAAATTTGGAAAAAAATTTATCAGGTTTCCCTATGTTAGCTAGTGCGGTTCGAAAATATTGCATTATACCAGCTTTTTCTGTGCAGTAGAGTCTGCTTTTAGTAAAGCAAACTTTATTCAAAGAAAAGAAAGAGGTATCCTTTCATCAAAAAACTTATAATATACTTAATTATTTTGTGTAAAAAAAAAAAAAAGCCCTAAATATAATCAACTATTTGTAAAAAAAAATCTTATTAAATAGAGATAAAAAAAAATCATTTAACTTTTTTTTGATTTTCCAATGGGAAGTGATTAGAAAATGTAGAAAAGTAAAGTCAAATTTAATTAATAGTAATATTATAAATTTAATGTCATGTAAAAACCTAAAAAAAATGATGAATTTTTAAATACTTTTGACTTCCTGGAGATTGGAAATAAATTGAATTCAATCTACTTCAACTACCGGGAAAGTTGGAACTTTCATTCTTTTTGCCTTTAAACTATATAAACAAAGTATATAAACTATAAGTATATAAACTTTAAACTATATAATAAACTATATAATTAAAGTATAATTAAATAAATAATTTCAAATATAAATACATTTAATTTGAAAACAGTTTCCATTTCAGAGGAAACTACAAAACTGGTTAGAAAGCAAAATCGAACAACCCTAATACTTATTCAAACATAAAAAATAAGTATATCAATTTTTATATAATTTTTCTTATAAAATTATGCTTTATTATATACTTTTATATTCTAAAGGAAAAAAAAAAGTCTTCAATGAAAATTTGGCACCTTCTAAGCCTTGGTGTCTGGATGAAAATCACCCATTGTACCTACCTTTTGCCAGGCCTATACATAAACGTTTTTTTGTAAATTAGCTTCTGGCATTATAAATTAGCTTCTGGCAGCTAATTTATTTTTGTTAGCTAATTTAGTCAGTTAGCTCAGCTCATACCTCAGACTTTTGACCTCAGACAGTTAATTTAGTCAGCTAACTTAGTTTGACCTCAGACTGCTTAGGGATTGTCCATTAATTATATCAACAAAATAGGGTGGGTCTGAAAATTTGGGTGGGGTTAAGGGGGAAAAAAGATAAAAAAAGTTTAAAATGACAACAATGTTACTTTTATAAATAAATGTAACTACTTACAATGATGGTAAAAGGAGGATGGTAAAAATCGGCAAAAGTTGTTGATATAATTAATGGACACCTTATCAAAGTATGCGCACACAGACACACACACACATATGTATATATATAATACTATATTATATAAAAAATATATAATTTTGTGATATAACTTAAACATTTGTCTAACAGCAATCATCAGAAAATTTAGGTTTCATTACTAAGTTAATGTAAAAGAAATTCAATAACCAAATCAAGTAAAAATAAAAACAAGGAAAAGAGAGGTAAAGAAAAACAAGGAAACGAAAAAAACTTAAAAAAAAAGAAAGCAAAAGAAAAAGGTATTGACGAAATAAGGAGAAACCCAATAAGA